GTTGAACATCTCTGGTGCAATTTAGTAAAAACCTAATTATATTTTTTTTGATTTGCATGTTTTATTAACTATATATAATGTAATTTGGACAATTTTATCAATCAAATGGATGTATATAAATATTAACACAAACTCCACCATGATACAAAAATTATTACATGATAATAATTCTTATAAAGGTATTCCTTCCAGAAAAGCTTTATTACCCTCCCTGGTAACAACTACTTGCACATTTCCTAAAATTCTGCTAACAAATCCACCTTCACAATAAGCAAAATAAAATTCCCATTTCCGTTTGAATATTTCTATTTCATCATTCGTCATTTCTGGCCAATCACGTATTAATGCAGGTCTAATATTTTCTTCAAAAACTTCTAAGAATTTCATGCGCCAAAGTCTTAAAGTACGTGCATAATGAGGACCAATGTTTTCTATATTATCAACTATAAGATGACCATGAGAACCCTTGTGAATCGCTTGAACTAAAGTTGTCACGGTAGGACAGTGACCGCCTTTATATATGAGAATATTTTAGTGAGTGAAAAATGACATTCAACACATTACTAATAATACACAATAACTTACCTGGAAAAATATACTTTCTAATAAAGTCAACTTCTTTACAATACCTATCGTACCTAGTCTCTGGCATTGTAATAACTTGAAATACACCAATACCGCCCTTTTCTTTTAAGAATTTATCACAACACTCAAAATATGTTGTTAAATATTCAGGCCCAACAGCTTCAATCATCTCTATACTTATAATTTTATCATATTGATGTGATGCTGACAAATTACGATAATCACAAAGTAGTACATCAATGCTCAAAGATAAGCCAGCTTCTGCAATACGTTTTTCAGCCAAGTTTTTTTGCTCAATTGAAAGAGTGAGAGTTGTTACTCGACAGCCAGTTAATTTTACAGCCTAAATGATTAACATAAGTAGGAAATAATAAAAAGAAAGTATTAATATAAGGTGAAAGGGGTAATTTTGCGAATTGTGATATCTCGGGATCCAGTAAACATTTGGGAATCGAATGGTATACATTTCATCCAATGTTAATATATTTTTTAATATATATGTATTTTACAAGTGTTAAGTTATTTTTTTTTTCTGATTTTGCAATCCAAATCAAACGATTTTCATATCAATCGATTCCTCTCATCAAAAGGAACCGATTGGATAAGAATCAATTATAATAACAAAGTACCGAGATATTCATGTTTAATCATTAAAGTATATAGAAAATTGTAATATAGGAGGTATTGTGACGAATCGTGATGATAGCGAAAAATATTCTAAGATTTTATATAAAATATTTCGAGATCTAGTGATTAGAATCAAATAATTTTGATATCGTTCTATTTAGCTCAATGAGATGAATCAAAGAATACCAAAACATTTAATTTCGATCAATAGATCATGTGATATGATCAAAGTATTAATATTATCGATTTGCCAAATTACTCTTTTACCTTACAATCAAATTGACAAACTATGCATAAAATTTACATACTTCAATGGCCAGAGAACCCCATCCACTTCCAATTTCCAGCAAATGATCATCTTTGCAAATCTTTGCCTTCTTAATTATCATTCTTAACTTATGATATTGAGCATCTTCCAAAGTTTCATTCTCATTTTCAAAAACAGCACTCGAATAAGTCATATCGCTACTAAGAAAACTAGCAAACATCTCGTTTGAAATATCATAATGAGCAGAGATGTTATTTATTGCATTTGAAATTGTGTTTGCAAACCGTGAATTCATTATATAATTAATTGTGTTAAATATATAAGAGGAAACACTTGATAAGTCATCAAGGTGAGGACGATTTGCCACAAAAATCTATGATAGATAAGAATAATAAAGGATAATAGATTATTAGTAACAATTTAAACATTTATTGAGATAACTAACATTTGACACGTACTTTGATTAGTGTTGATAGATCATCACAAGTCACATCGCCAATCATATATGCTTCGGCAAAACCCTATTAATCATTAAGAGGACAAATAATGAACAACATTCGTTTATGGCATTTGATGAAAAAGGAAGTGTTTTGAAGCGTGATCTAAGCAAATAAGGAAGTTTGCTCAAATATGAACCGATTTTTTGGGTCTACAGAATGCTCATCCCGATATAATCTCACCCGTAATTATATATGGTCATGTCCGATTATACGTGTTACCACGTGACGCGAATTTCATGAAACAAATCCGAATATGTATGTATTATGTCTGATAACCAAATTTGAAAGACTTACTAGATCACCCAAGAGTAGCAATCGCACCCAAAAAGAATCATTGATGATTTTGATATTAACTCGTAATGTTGAATCTTTTGGACCGAACTCGTAGATACAATCTTTACTTAAAACGCGAAGATAACCAAAGTCGATTTTGGACATCAGGGACAAGATAGTATTTCGTGCTACACGATCGATAGTAATTTTAAAAGATGAACGGTTGAAAATAATAATAATAATAATAACGAATAGACCTCTGCATTGGCTTGGGCTACCCATGAGCAGGGATGGTAAATGATCCAAATGACTATTTAATGTTACGGCTGATGCTGAAGTTTGGCTGATGTTGAAGCTAAAAAATCTGATTGGCTAAATTTTGCAGATCA